ACATTTTTGTTTTCTTTGATTGTCCAGGAATTTTGGATTGTGACCTGCACATGGTAAATTATACATTATAGAGACCATGGTTTCTGTTATGTTTCTCTGGAAAGCTTTTAATTTTTTTGTTTTACAAAATAGTTCACTTGGCTGTACTAAAACTTCAAACTCTTTCTCTTGTCTAATGTGCAAGAGTTAAAATTTCTGTTCTGTTCTTTTGTCATTAGCTAGGCTACTCGATTTCTGTCCTTTATGGGTTTAATTAGGACAGTCAGAGACTTGAGGAAAGTTTATACACAGAATTTTTGGCTTCTCTTCTATGGGTCTCTCCTTTTTAGGATATCCACCACCACAACCATTTTCCAGTTGTTGCAAGAGCTATGATAACCTCGAGTTCTGACTTCCAATTACTCAAAATTAAATATTTCTATCCAAATTTTAACTATCCTATTATAGAGCTGACAGAGGGCTGTCCTCAGGCAAAAATTCATTAGGAAAAAAAAAATGCAAACACATCCAGTACCATTTCCTTCTTACAATTTTAAATTATCACCTGGTTTCTAGTTTGGTCACTCTCTATGTTTTTAGGTCAATTTTTTCCTCCAGAGTTTATAATCGTTATTTGCAGAAAGGCTAATCCAATATGAACTACTCTGCTATTAACAGAGATGGAATTCCAGGTGCTTAATAAATATTTATTGAATAGATTCAAGTACCCACTTTATAGCTGCAAACTGATCACCGACAGACACTATACACTTAATCTAGCCCAAATTAACTAAACTCCTGATTCTCTCTCTCATTCCTACCTCCCGCCAACTTGCTCCTCCCCAAGTCTGAATATATTTGCAATTGCCTTGAGATTTCCAATTGAATAAATAAGAGGACTTTCAAATTCAACATATTCAAAACGGGAGCACACCCCCTTCAGGGTTTTTTACTTGCTGTTCCCCCTGCCTGAATGATATCACCAGATATCCACATGGTTCACAGTTCTCACTGCCTTCAGGCCTCAGCCCCAGAGTCAACTTTGCAGTGAGGCTTTCCTGACCATTTGCTGTCACACAAACTCCGTCCTTCCTTTTGCACTACCTGTCGCCTTGCTGTCCTTTATTTTTCCCCATAGCACTTCTCTTCATGTCACTATTAACTGCTTTTTAAACTGTTGCTGTGTCTCTCCCCTCACTATAGTGTAAGCTCCGCAAGGGCAGGGCCTTTTCACTGCTTTCTCCCAAACACTGAGCAAAGAGCATGGTATAGAGTAGGTGTTCAAGAAATATTGGTTAAATGAATGTGGAAGCTACTTGAATCAAAGTGAAATGAAAACCTGGATAAGGAAGGAACACTAATATTCACAGGCCATGTGTTAGAAAAAAAGCCTATAAAAACAAAGGGTTCCATCAGCCAAAGAGAGAAAATCCAGGGCAGAATAATGTCACAGACCCCACAAGAAGAATTTTCATGAGGAAGTTGTCATATATTGCAAAGATCAAGCAAATGGCAGAGTAGCTCTCTGCCTTTGAGAGTTAGGAGGGCTTTGATGACATTGTGTATGACAGTCATTTCAGTGATACAGTGGAAGACTACAGTGGGCTATAAAGTGTCAGCAAACAGAAACATAGGGTCAAAAGCTAGGAAAGGGGGCAAGGCTGAAGCTGCAGGAGTGAGGGAATAATGAGAGAGGAAAGTTGGGGAGAGATAAGCTTAGCCCAGCTGGAGTAGCTTGCCTTGGACAAGAGCAAGACTTCTTTTTTTGACTCTGAGATGCAAGAAGGGAGGGGGAAAAGGGTTTCCTTGATACAGAGTCAGGGCTGGTACATATGGGTATATTGGTTATGGTCTGTATGTGGACCCCTGGCTGAGAGAAGCAGTCTGCTCTCCAAGTCATAGGCCCTGATGTGGGCTGTGTCTACCCAGAGGAAGAGGCGTTCTCACTCACGTAATATCTAAACATGCCTCTGTGGCATCACAGTTGCTGAAGGGAGGGGATACTTTTGAAATGGGAGTTTTCCCTTATCCCCTTCGCAGGGCATATGGCAGGGCTGTGGCTTGATTTTTGGTGTCCTGCTGCTCACACCCCTAGTGGGAGTATGCAGACAGACAGGTCATGGGGAGCATTTCTGGGCTCCGACACGCTGGCTGGCCTGTCTAGGGTTGAGTGTGTACAGCTCCCAAAGCCCCAGTGGGCGTGTGTTACAGTGTGCTCTTTCAGTTTTGCTGTCTGCAGGTGGCTTGTGTTAATCAGCCCAGTTAGACCCTCAGCCTTATTGCAAGGACAGAGGGCTTTCTGTATCCTGGGTTCTTGCCTTAGTGTACTAGAAAAATTGAGTCACATGTGGGCTTGGATGATGGGTGCAAGGTTTTTTATTGTGTGGTGGAAGTAGCTCTCAGTGAGATGGAGGCGGAGGCAGGAAGGGGGTTGGAGTGGGAAGGCTGCCTTTCCCTGTGCAGCCAGATTCTCTTCCAACCATGCACCCACCCACCCCTCCCCACCCACCGCCACCGAATTCCACATTGTCCCACCATCAGTGGCCTGCCAGCATCTGCTGGTGTCTGTTGGTGTGCTCTTCTGCTCCTCTGCTCCTCTTAGCATGTGTGTCCACTAGGATCTTTGGGTTTTTGTGGGCACAGAATGGGGGGTGTGGCAGGCCAGAGTGGTCTTGGAAAATGCAACATTTGGGCAGGAAGCCAGGAGTGCCTGTCTTCACTTAGGTCTTTGGCCACAAGCCCGAGGGTAGAGCCCTCACCAGGGACCTTGGCCTTCTCTACTCAGCATTTCCCTGCCCGCCTCCCGTATCGCCTTTTTCTAAGATTTACGAAAGTGGCCTTGTATTGAACTTACATATTTTTAAATAAATATGCCATGAGAACTCTTATGAGATCTTGATTTCTCTTCTTTTTAAACATATGAAACATCATATATGGAAGAAATAAAATATTACATAGTGAAAAGCTTTCTGTAGTACCCCAGTGCCCCTCCTTCTTCCCCAGAGACAACCACTGTCCTGAAGTTGGCATTTTTCATTCCCATGCATGGTTTTATACTTTGCCACTGATGTGTCCCCATAAACAATATGAAATATTTTTCCATGACTTTAAAATATGTATAAATGGTCTCCAACTATACATAGTACTCTGCAATATTCTTTTCTTTCTTTCTTTTTTTTTTTTTTGCTTAACATTTTTTTGAGATTTATCCACGTTGATATTGGTACCTCTAGTTCATTTGCTTTTATTCATTTCATAAAATTTTTATTTGATATTTTATTGAATAAATATACAACACTTTTCCTAGCATTTTCTTACTGATGGGCATTCAGGTTTTGTTTTAAAGTTTTAGTTTTAAAATTAAAGCTGTAATCAGGCCGGGCACAGTGGCTCACGCCTGTAATCCCAGCACTTTGGGAGGGCGAGGCAGGTGGATCACCTGAGGTTAGGAATTTGAGACCAGCCTGTCAAACGTGGTAAAACCCCATCTCTATTATTAATGCCAAAAAAAAAAAAAAATTAGCCAGGCATGGTGGCGGGCACCTGTAATCCCAGCTACTCTGGAGGCTGAGGCAGCAGAATCTCTTGAACCTGGGAGGCGGAGGTTGCAGTGAGCTGAAATTGTGCCATTGACACTCCAGCCTGGGCTACAAGAGTGAGACTCTGTCAAAAAAGAAAAAAAACTGTAATCAATTTTATGTGTCTCCTTATTACATATCCAAGAACTTCTCTAAGAGCGGAGTTGCTGGCTCCCAGGGGTACCCACCTGACCTTCACTAGATAATGCCAAAGTGGTCTCCACGGTGGATATAATAACAATGTGCACTTCCACTGGTCGCATATGAGTGCTGCTATTTGGTGAGTGTTTTCTTTTCAGACTTTAACATTTTCTCCTACCTGAGGAGCTACAGTTTTTGCTAATACATCCCCGATTATTCATAGCTTTGGATATTTTCATATGTTATCACTATTTGGGGTTCTTTCTTTGTGAATTGTTTGTTTAGATATCCTCCTACTTTCTTCCTTCTTCTATCGCATTGTTCCACTGGGTTGTTTATCTATTTTCTAAATGATGCATAGGATTTTTAAACTTATTATTATTCTGGTTACTAATTTTTTTAATTAATTATTTATTTATTTATCTATTTTGAGACGAAGTTTCCCTCTTGTTACCCAGGCTGGAGTGCAATGGTGCGATCTCGGCTCACCACAACCTCCGCCTCCTGGGTTCAGGCAATTCTCCTGCCTCAGCCTCCTGAGTAGCTGGGATTACAGGCACGCGCCACCACGCCCAGCTAATTTTTTGTATTTTTAGTAGAGACGGGGTTTCACCAAGTTGACCAGGATGGTCTCGATCTCTTGACCTCGTGATCCACCCGCCTCAGCCTCCCAAAGTGCTGGGATTACAGGCGTGAGCCACTGCGCCCAGCCACTAATTTTTTTTATTACAAATAACTTCTCGTGGTCTGTCGCTTGTCTTTCACTTTTAAAGAATGTCTTTGTATATGTGATTTATATTTTAATACAGTCATATTTTTTCAGTATTTTCAAAGATGAATAAAACCTGAAGGTGTATGTGCTGGAGGCGGAAGGTGTCTTAGGAAATTCTTGCCAAATGATCTTTCTTTTCTCTGTAAAGTGAAAGGGAAGAACAACTCTTAGACATAGCGGTAGAGTTCCTGAGATTCTGCCTTCCATCACCTTGCATGAACTGAATCCATACCAAATGGCTAGTAGACCTGGGAGTTGGCTTGGGTTGAGGGGAGGGGGGTGAGACAGGATTTCATACATGGAACCCTGCCTTACTAGAACTTACCATCAGGGGACTAGTAAGGATTAGGCTGTGTAGCTTGGATATACTGCAGTAGAAACTTGAGGAGGGGGAGATTGGAGTAGGGCTGAGTAATTGTCTATGGACTGGATTCATCAGGGCAGACCATACGTCAACTTTTATTTCTTCCTATACGCTTAAGACTCCCAGCGTCAAAATGAATAAACAAATAAAAATTCAAAAATTAAAGAATCAGGGATACTGCGGTCGCAGGGGCGGAGCCAGGGCCTTTTGCCCGCTTGGCGGCCGGCTCTGCCTTCCCTATTCTCGCCTCCCACGCGGCCGTGGCTCCCAAAGGCAGTTCTAAACAGCAGTCCGAGGAGGACCCGCTCCGGCAGGATTTCAGCCGCAACGTCTCGGCCACGTCCCCCGCGCTCTTCTTCGGGAACGCGTTCATCGTGTCTGCCATCCCCATCTGGTTATACTGGAGAATACGGCTTATGGATCTTCTTCAGTCTGCTGTTTCGTATAGTGTGATGACCCTAGTAAGCACATATTTGGTAGCCTTTGCATACAGGAATGTGAAATTTGTTCTCAAGCGCAAAGTAGCACAGAAGAGGGAGGATGCTTTTTCCAGAGAAGTGGCTCGAAACTTTCTGAAGCTGATAATAGAAAGATGTCTCGGAAGGAGAAAGATGAAAGAATCTTGTGGAAGAAGAATGAAGTTGCTGATTATGAAGCTACAACATTTTCCATCTTCTGTAACAGCACTCTGTTCCTGGTCTTGGTCACTGCTGCTTCCTTCTTCATATTGAAGAATTTCAACCCCACAGTGAACTACATTTTGTCCCTAAGTGCTTCATCAGGACTCATCGCCCTCCTGTCTACTGGCTCCAAGTAGACCAGGCCAGCTTACCCCCTGGCTTTGTGTCTATGGGTGGCCTGTGGTATATGAAAAAGTAGCAGGGTGGTCAGGGTGGGAGACACACAAGATGTTTTTACAGTCTAGAGCCTTAAACAACCCAACAGAATGTAATTCAGCATTTGTTTTTTGGCTATTTTTGGCAGATTGTTGAAATTAAATGAATTGAAAGGAAACAAAATAAGAGTCACACTGTCTTGGGCTGCAAAGAAACATAAGTAAGTGTATTCAAGGATAATATCTTAGTTAATGGAAGGAGAAAAGGTATATTAAAATATAATATGTAAAATTATATTCAAATTATACCTACAAAAGGTATTTTTACACTTACATTTTAAACCATTGTATTATATATAGTATATATTATATTTGTAGTAATATAAATGTTTATATTTTATATTTAAAACCATTAAAAATTTTTAAATTGTGGGAAATTTTATTAAAGGAAATTAATAGATAACTGGTGGTCAGTTAACCGTGGAAGGCAAATCTTCATCTATAGCTTTCATATCAATATTTTATAAGGAGATTTAGATATAGTAATTATAAAAGAAGTAATAGTTTTATATCTTGATTAAATGTCTTAGGTTGAATTCATTAAATATTAACAGCATCAGAAGTGACTAATTGCCATGAAACTAGATATTTCACTTTATGAATGTGATCTGCACACAAACTAATTTCCCTAAATGACCTTATTATGTAAAAGAATATGACATATGCCCAGAAAAAAACTTGGTAACAGATTTATTTAAACTTTCTTTTATTCCTACTGTTGGTTAAATTTCTTCATTTAAAAGGTGTTTGGCCGGGCGCGGTGGCTCAAGCCTGTAATCCCAGCACTTTGGGAGGCCGAGGCGGGTGGATCACAAGATCAAGAGATCGAGACCGTCCTGGTCAACATGGTGAAACCCCGTCTCTACTAAAAATACAAAACATTAGCTGGGCATGGTGGCACATGCCTGTAATCCCAGCTACTCAGGAGGCTGAGGCAGGAGAATTGCCTGAACCCAGGAAGCGGAGGTTGCGGTGAGCCGAGATCGTGCCATTGCACTCCAGCCTGGGTAACAAGAGCGAAACTCCGTCTCAACAACAACAACAAAAAAGGTGTTTAAAACTACATTTAATAAAATCTGAAAAATTTTTAGACAGTAAATAACTATATACAGTGAAAACATCTATCTCTTTATCTATATTAAATTTAAGCATTATACCAATAAAAAATATTTATGAGGTGATATTCTACACAGGGCATTGAGGTAAAATTATGTTGAGAATAACTATTCTTGTCATTTTAGGTAAAATAAAAACGAATTTTAAACGTAGGGGAAAAAATAAATGAAATGGAGGCCCACTGAAGTTAAGGTCTCTCTGCAGAAGGTCCCACAACTAATGAGAGGCACAATCCACACTAAAGCTACAGATTCCCATCCAGGGTGCTGTTTTTCCTGCTCGTCAAGAATGTTGACATGGAACTAGGCATGGTGACTCACACCTGTAATCTCAGCATTTTGGAAGGCTGAGGTGGATGAATTGTTTGATCTCAGGAGTTCGAGACCAGCCTGGGCAACATGGCAAAGCCCCATCTCCACCAAAAATACAAAAAATTAGCCAGGCGTGGTGGCATGCACCTGTGATTCCAGCTACTTGGGAGGCTGAGGTGGGAGAATCGTTTGAGCCCTAGAGAAGGAGGTTGCAGTGAGCCATGGTTGTGCCAGTACACAGAGTGAGACTTCATCTCAAAAAAGACGAAGAAAAAAGAATGTTGACATATCTTCCTTTGATTGTAAAATAGAATTTTGAGAGTAATGTGAAGAAAAAAACTAGTAAATCAAAACAGAACATCAACACGCCCAAGGCCCATGACCATTAAATGTGGTGCACAAACTGTTAGAAACAGCTATTCTATTCACATCCATTTGTTTGTCTTATGAGGATACAGGAAAATATGTTACCTTCATTTTTTTTTTCCAGCTAAGATACAAAGAAGTAAAGTGACTTAACCCAGATCACTTTACAAGTCATAGCAAAAGAGAATAAATTAACACAGTCTTCATGTTCAATACTTTCATAAGCCACAGGATCAATGGCCACATGTATCCATACATCATAGCCACTTTCTTGTTTTGGTTACACAAATATTGCTCTACTGACTGCCAGGTTAGTTGGTTCTACTTAATTTTGCCTGTAGAGAAAGCATCAAAATTGGGCAGCCAATAATGATGAAAAAATAAACCAGAGGTGTGTTAACTAAATTGCTCATAATCAAGCTGCTATTACAGCTCCCGTTTTTCCTGTCTATATCCTTACCAGCACACATGAATGTAAAAATCACTTTCAACTGCCTGTAAAAGACATGCTATCACTAGGATTAATCAAAAGTTCTTTCCATGATGAAATGCGTAAAATATTTGCTCCTTATTTCTTACTGTAGTAATAAACTTATGAAGAAATTGATATCATGTCCAAGTGTTAGAGAAATATCATAACACCAATTAAAAGAAATCTTTAGAATATTTGCCAAAGTCAAATATAGCGTTCACTGATACCAAAAATATACTTTCTCTGTGTTCTCAAGGAGATCAAATTTAGTCCAACTAAACAATCACATTATCACAGAGGCTCATCTTGCCAGGTGTTGAAGATGCAAAGAAAAGGATTTGACTACTCCCCTTGGATATAATGTCTCGAGGCTCCCAGTTCTCAACTGAGTAGTCCTGGGGGCTCTTAACAGATATAAAAACACTAAAGAAGCAGAAAAGAGAAGCAAGGAGCTCTACCCATGAAAGCTGGTGAACTGTCACCAATACCCCTCAGAACTGCATCTTTTGGCTGGGTGTGGTGGCTCACACCTGTAATCCCAGCATTTTGGGAGGCTGAGGTAGGGTGTTTGAGACCAACCTGGCCAACATGGCGAAACCCCATCTCTACTAAAAACACAAAAACAGTACTAGCCTGGAGTGGTGGCAGGCACCTATAGTCTCAGCGACTTCGGAATCTGAGGCAGGAGAATCACTTGAACCCAGGAGTTGGAGGTTTGGAGGCTGCAGTGAGCTGAGATCAGACCACTGCACTCCAGCCTGGTGACAAAGTGAGACTCTGTACCCACCCCCCAAAAAAAAGAAAGGAAGAAAGGAAGGAAGGAAGGAGAAAGAAAGAAAGAAAGAAAGAGAGAGAAAGAAAAGAAAGAAGAAAGCAAAAGAAAGGAAGGAAGGAAGGAGGGAAGGAAGGAAGGAAGGAAGGAAGAAAGAAAGAGAAAGAAAGAAAAAGAAAGAAAGAAAGAAAGAAAGAAAGAAAGAAAGAAAGAAAGAAAGAAAAGAAAGAAAGAAGAAAAGAACTGGGTCTTTAAAGGCATTCTTCCAGGCAGGGAAGTGGGGAACGGCATGTGAAGTAGAGCAGATACTAGGAGCAAAGGCATGAAGGGGCAGGGCAGATTTACATATGGTGAGTGTGCCAGTGCTAAGACTGTGATGACATCACCAATGGCCTTATATGGTGGGCTAAGAAGGGATTCCAGTGTGTAGGTGTGGGCGTGCTAAGATTGGTGTTTCCAGAAGATCAATCTGATAGCCAAGAGTGGAGGACACGTTTCAGGGAAGGAATTCATTCTTAGGCTATTGCATTAGACCAAGTGAGAAATGACGGCAGCCTGGTTTGCCACACAGGGGATGGAGGAAAGGGAATACATCCAGTACTTTCAGAGGGGCTTTAAAATTAGTCAAATAACTGTAAGGGAAGAAAGTGATTCCTTCAGCTAAAAATTCCTTCAGCTAAAGGAAAAAAAAATTAAGAAGAGCATCAGTGTCATGAAATACAATAAAAGCCAAGGTCAGACAAAAATATAAATTTAAAATCTTCTTTATAGCCAATCATACATTTACTACCTGCAAATAGGCTATTTTCAGAAAATGTCATTTATTCTGCCTTTTCTTTCTCTCTCTCTCTTTTTTTCTGAAATGGAGTCTCACTGTGTCACCTAGGCTGCAGTACAAAGGTATGATCTTGGCTCACTGCAACCTTCGCCTCCCAGGTTCAAGTGATTCTACTGCCTCAGCCTCCTGAGTAACTGGTACTACAGGCATGCACCACTATGCCTGGCTAATTTTGTATATTTACTAGAGATGGAGTTTCTCCATGTTGGTCAGGCTGGTCTCGAACTCCTGACCTCAGCTGATCTGCCTGCCTTGGCCTCCCAAAGTGCTGAGATTACAGGTGTGAGCTACTGCACCTGGCCTTTCTTTGTCTTTTTGTAAAACTCACTCAAATGACTTTTTGATGGACTGGAGTAAATCATCACGAATTGTGCCAAAATATTTTGGAGTATTCTTCAACAGAGTAAATGCTTAATCTTTGTACCTGAGATGCTTCTGCATAAGCAAGCTCTCCTACATCATTATGTATCAGAAATCAATTTGAAACAAACATATCATATGCAGGCAGTGCTGAGGCATTTTTCCATTAGTTTTAATCCAAGGAAAACAAGATGAGAAGATGATGTTTCACAAGCTCTAATACTGGTAACTTCTGCAAGAGAGATAATGTCAGAGATGCCCAAAATAGGAGTGATACTCAAAAAGTATGTCTTTTTCCCTGCCGTAGCAGATATTATGATATACTTCCAAGAATTCCTCTTTAGGACTGAGACATTCTCCTAGTAGCTTGGCGTGCTGGTAGCTGACAGCTCTTAGCTGAATTGCTCTTAGTCCCTTTCATAGGGACAGCCCCCATCTATTGGCTGGTCAATTGATGATGGGTGAACATAAAACCCTGGCCCCTTGACTTAAGGGACAAGGGCATCTCAGATACAGAAGGGCTATCCCAGTTACAGAGCTCCTATAGAACTGATTAAGGTCCCTGTTGCAGCTGCATAACAGTTCACCTTCTTCATCTGTCTAGTCCTGCCCGTCAACCCTCACAGGTGATGCTCCCAAGGGCACTCACCTCTTGCACAGAAATCTTAGAGTCCTTTCCCCATGAAA